CCTCGGTGGGAAGACTTGGGGCATCCTCTGTTTGGGGGTTTGTATCCAGCTGGTCTGGTCTCTGCTTTGGTCCGTCATCCACACTTAGCCACAGTCCTGGGATTCGCCATTCTGTGCAGGAAGCTTTCATAGGGAGAAATTTTGAAAACAAGTTGATTAACCTTTTTTCTTAACAACTGGTGTGATGGGCAAACTGGGAAGACTTGTATTTTAGGCACTTTTGTCTAGAGCCTGCTGTCCCATGTCAGGGGTGGGGGGAGTTTTGAACAGTGAAAAAATTTTATTAATATATTTTAATGTGTTCTTTGAAGTATCACTTGGTGATTTTTTAAAATCCAATGTCTTTAAAAGGATCCATGTTATTGTATTGTAAATAATTTAGATGATTAAAATGGATTGTTTTAAACAATATTTAGATTATAGTTTTACTTTATTTCAGTGACATGTTTTTTTGTTCTGATTCACATAGGAAATGCACTTGATTAGAAACAGTCCATATCTTGTCCTGACAGTGTTCTGTATTTTAGATTTTTATGTGTAGGGAAGAGCCTCTATGTGGCAGACGATTAAGAGTTAAGTTCACACAGTTAAGTCAGTAGTTGGCTGGCCTGCTGGACCATTCAGGTGAATTATCTTGGATGCCTTGATCCTTAAAGGTGAAGAAAGTGTGAGATTAAAGCTGTGCCCACAGAAGATGTTGCAGGTCAGTCTATTCAGCATTTATACACATGGAGCCCATTTTACCTGGGGAAATATCTGGAATCATGCAGACAGTGGCATCTGATCTGGTAGTGAGTGACCCTGCAGTAGAGATATGTCATAACTGGGGCTGAGATCCTGAAGTTGGTATTGGAAGGCGGTCACACTTGGTCAAAACAGGCCTTGAAAATTTCCCCAAGTCTCCAACACCTGGCCACCAGAGGTGAGAGCCAAGAATCAGCTTTCGTCACATCTTTGTTTTATGCATAGGTCCAAATTCCATTCAGGAGCAGTTACAGAGTGTGGGGAAAGGGAACGGAATAGGTCCTGGTGGAAAGGAGCCAGACAGAAAGTTCTGGCAGCCATGTGTTCCTATAGTTTTATCACAGGGCAGGGGCCAGTTGCAGTACACCTTCATCAGCTTGTATCCTGTCTTGCTTTCAGTCAGTCGCACTCATGTCCACAGTAGTGGGTCCAGAGAAGCTCGTGAAGGAAAGGTGGCCCAGGGACCCAGCAGAACCAGATAGAAAAGGCTGGTACACTGATTGACAGGCCTTCAGATGTCTTTGGTGTAGGGAAGTTCCTTCCCAGTGTCTTGTGGGAGGAAGCGCTTTTTGATCCAGCCTGGCTCTACTGCAGTCTGCCCATACCCACCCACATCAGGACCTGCGGAGGAAGCCCCTGTGCTCTTGCATCAGCATGTATGTGAAGCCAGAGTGGATCAAACCGACTGCAGCTTGGAAGTCGAATAATGAAGAATGAGAATCAAAAACCAACAGCATAGAGCCAGCCCTGCTTAGAACTTCCAGAGCAGAGAGCACTTGCTGAAAGCAGTTTCTTTATGGTGTCCTTACCTGGGAGAACCTTGCTATTTCTTTTTGATTCCAGATCTTGAATAACCAGTCTCTAATTGTAGTTTAAAATATTTGATGATGAACATTTTTTCATGTATTTGTTGATTAGAGAAATGCAAATCAAAACCACTTTAAGATTTCATCTCACTCCAGTCAGAATGGCAGCTATTACGCATAAAAACAACAACAAGTGTTGGTGAGGATGTGGGGTAAAACTCATACACTGCTGGAGAGACTACAAATTGTTGCAGCCAATATGGAAAGCAGTATGGAGATTTCTTGGAAAATTGCGAATGGAACCACCATTTAACCCAGCTATCCCTCTCCTCAGTCTATATCTAAAGGACTTAAAAACAGCATACTACAGGGACACAGCCATAGCAATATTTATAGATGCACAATTTACAATAGCTAAACTGTGGAACCAACCTAGATGCCATTCAATAGATGAATGGATAAAAAAATGTGGCATTTATAAACAATGGAATATTACTCATCAATAAAACAGATAAAATCATGGCATTTGCAGGTAAATGGATGGAGTTAGAGTAGATAATGCTAAGTGAAGTTAGCCAATCCCAAAAAAACAAATGCTGAATGTTTTTGTTGATATAAGGAGGCTGATTTATAGTGGGATAGGGAGTGGGAGCATGGGAGGAATAGACAAACTCTAGATAGAGCAAAGGGTTGGAGGGGAATGAAGGGGGTATGGGGTAGTTAATGATGGTGGAATATGATAATCATTATTATCCAAAGTATAGGTATGAAGACACAAATTGGTGTCAATATACTATGTATACAACCAGAGATATGAAAAATTGTGTTCTATATATGTAGTAAGATTTGTAATGCATTCCGCTGTCATATATAAAGAAAGAAAGAAAGAAATACATGATAGATATATTCAAAACAAACAAAAGTATCTGCAACTGGGTACATTAAATTTATATTTGGATGAGATGAATGTAAGTACTAGTAATAGAAGGATATCAGAAGTTTTTATAGGATTATTGCTGCATTTCTAGAAAATGAATTCCCCAGTTTAATAGGTAAGTATCAATTAAAATCCATTCTTCTACATTTTTAACTGAAATTAAGAGAAAGTATCATTTAACAAGATTCCAATGTATACTGTCATGTAAGTTATTGATATATATATTTCTTTTCCACAACCTTTGGATTGCCAGTTAAGCCAAAATTCTAGCTTTTCAATATTATTCTTTAAGTATTATAAATCCTTATTTTACTTTAACCTTAGTGAATCACCTGATTTCATTCTACTTGGTAGTATAACTGGGCTTGATGAATCAGTAGTTTTAAGGGATCCCTTATTGGATTTACATTCCATTGTCTTTCAACATGCATGGTTCATCCTAAAACTTTTTGAGGCTTCTGTTTATCTTCAAAAAAGGGAAATATATTCTTCCAGATTATTATTCCCTCAAATTTATGGCGCTTTGAGGATTCCATACCTTCTGCTTAATAACTCTCTTGCTTGGCTTCTAGAAGAGTAGGCAAAAGCAAGCTCCTGCCCGATGCACATCCTCTACTTCTGTTTCTAGGAGAAGTGCCCTTCCCTGGAAAATCAGCTTGCTCTGCAAAGGTCCATTTTCTCTTTCACCTTTGGGCAGGCCCTAATTCTGTCTTCCTTCTTCTTTTAACAAGCATTTATTGAATATCTGCCATTTCTCTACTAAGCAATGAAGAATCGAAGGCAAATAGGCTTTATCCTTGATGTGAGAGAATCCATACTCACAGGCTTCCATAGGTCAACAAAGTGGTAGATGTTTTAAAGATTTATGTATGCAGGACTTCAGGAACTTAAAGGAGTGGGGTAGTGGAATTGATTTGGTTTCCTTGGTGGAAACTAATCTATAGGTATGTTGAGCATGAAACTGTTTCTTTTTCTCTAGAACACCCTTGCTCCTCTAGCCGAAAGATCAAATGGGGCTCCCTATCCTTCAGTGAGCTCCAAATCTGTGCCTTGTGAGAATTAGTCCCTCTGCTCTATAGTTTTCAAGTGATTAAGTTCATACATTTAATATGACCTATGTTGAATTTGTTACTATTTGATTAAGTGTATGGCCTCTTTACTACTTCAGGATTTCCTCAAGCTGTTTTCATGCACTTTTAATTATATCTTATTCTGTGCATTTTAAAAACCTTAGCCTTTTGTATTTTCAAACCCATTTATTGATGATGAGGATTTTAAAATAAATTCAATCCATGAAAGGTTTTTAAAAACTCTTAGTGAATACTACTTTTATATCATCTGGTTGCTAGTGTCAAATTGGATAATTCGATATTTTGAATTTTTTGTTATATCATGGATTTTAATAGTGTAACTGCACTTTTGAAATTAAATTTCATTTAATTTTACTGGGAATTGAATTCAGAGGTATTTAACCACTGAGCCACATTCCTAGCCTTTTTTTTTTTATTTTGTGACAGGGTTTTGCTAAGTTGTTTAGGGCCTGCTAAGTTGGTGAACCTGGCCTTGAACTTGCATTCTTCCCGTCTCAACCTCCAGAGTCAGTGGGAATGATAGACTTGTGCCACCATGCCTGGCATAACTGCATTATTAAAGTAAGAAATAAACACATGTTTTTTAGCTGTAGGAAGGAGACCAGATTTCAGTATTTCAGGAGTGTTAGATTTATATCTGAAGTAGAAATTTCTACTTGGAAATTTCTACTTCAGAAATGGAAGCCACTGTGTGTTGTGTGCCACTACCTAAATAGGGTATGTTAAAAGGGGCATAATTTGGCTTCTCCTTATTGTTCCCTGAGGTTCAGCTATTACCTCACTTACCCTAAGCCTCTTTTAAACTTGGTTGGGTTTTAAGCCGAGCACCTTCTAAGAGCTTTCTTCTTCTTTCCTTTTCTTGCTTCTCTTACTCCTTCTTTTTTATATCTTTATTTCTGTTGTTGGCCACCAGGTAGCAACAATACCTTGAATGGCTTAAGGCTCATAGTTAGAAAACTGTTGTAAACCAACAAAAACTTTAAACCATGTGCATTCAGGAGGGGAAAGGGTAAGTGTCCAGAATCATGAATTTGCAATAGGCAGCGCTGTCCTCAGGCTGCCTATTGCAAATGCAGGCATATATTATCAGCTATCTGTGAGCAGCCTCTGTTCTGCCAGTCCATCCATTGATACTGTGGTATTACACTTCAAACCAGAGCCACTGAGATAAAGTGAGATGAATGCCAGATGAAGGCAAGGGACAACATGGATCATTCAAGGACAGTGCATGACAATTGCAGGCAAAAAGAGTCCAAAATCAAAAGAGAGGTATAGGGACAGGGTGATTATTTCTCTGTATGGAAATATCCAAAAATCCCATAATATTTATGAGATTATTTTTTAACCATGAGAAACACATGTGTGCCAATCTAGAAAAATCAAATATTTTATTTTAGATTTTTCTTTTTCCTTCACTCTCAGCCATTCCTCTGGGTATTCTAGTTGTGCGTGGAGACTGTGATCTGGAGACTTGCCGTATGTACATAGACCGCCTACAGGAGGTGAGTTTATTTAGCCAATTATTTATTCTCCTTAGCTTTCCATTTTCATAACTGATTACCAGTGCTTCTTAAGTGGCACATTGGGAAGGAACTGGGAATGTGGTAGCCTTGTCCCTTAAGTTTATACTAAGTGTCTTCCTCCCTACCCCATGGCTGTCTCCCTCCTCTGGTGGTTAAAATGGGAAAGGATTGGTCAGGTGCCTCAGGGTCCTGTTTCTCTAGTGCATTCCACAGCTTGTGGCTTGGAACTTCTGTCTTCTTGCCAAGCTACATACCTGTATTTTTTAGCTTTAAAGGATTTCAGATGGCACTGATAAGTAATTTAAAAAAACAGATTTGGGGTTATTTAATGTTTGTATCTAATATAGACTTTTGTCAGGGAGTGTGATTTAAAAAATAAAACTTCTGCAGGAAAGAAAAACCTTGTATAATTCATGAAGTTTTGTCAAAGCACAAAGGAATAATCTATGTATTATTATAATTTTTCTCCCTCAATCTGGTCTTGCCACGGAGAAACAGAAAGAAAAAGATTTTCTATATGACAGTCCCATTTATTTGAATAGCACGACACCCACACTTATCATTATAATTTTTCCTGGTTGTTCTTAAAAACTTTTGAGGAGGAGTGTGTAAACTGTCTCCATTCTGCAAAAAGCAGAAACATAAACAGCCATTTCTTTATCATTGTTTCTTGGTAAAAGATACACATTAGAGTCACTTTCTCAGGTGGGGCTAAGAGATTTGTATTCTTAGCTGTTGCATGATTCTATGGATACTCCTAGATGAACAACTCTGTCCAACATAACACACTACAAACATGTAAATGTCAGAAAGCAGATATTCAGTGTTTAAAATATCTTTAGGTTGGAAGCACTTAACTATGAACATTAGATTTCATTTCTCTTGGAAGAAATAAGTTTAGATAGGAGGAATACATTGATGTAAAAATTAGTAATTTTTTTCGTTATCACTGTCAAGAATTGAGATGGAATTATGAATGCAAATTTTTTAGAGATAATTGTCTAATTTTTAATACTGATATGCTTAAGATAAATGGTGTGGACAAATTTTATACTTGTGGCTTCCTGTAGATAATTTGATTGACTTAAATAAGTTCAAATTTGTGAACTTTTTAGCATGTAGCTCAGGTCAGAATCTGTATTCCTCAAACCTAGATATAGTATTTCATTCGACAAATGTAATGTCACTTGACATTACATAAAAAATTGAATCATAAAAACTGAATCATAATTGGTAACAAACTTTTTTTCCTTCTTCTTCTTTAATATTTAGCACTCTAGTAATTTTGTTAACAAGATTTCACAGTAGGAAAGCACATGATTAATAAATTGACTTTGTTGAAAACTAGCTTATTGGTTTGATAAGCGTGTCAATATTCAACTAATAGGGAATTCTAAATAAAAAGGAAGTAAGCTCAATAGATAAAGAGGAATGGTTTTGAAACAAACTTGGGCACAGAAGTTTGTGTGTGAGGTAAGATGATGAAGCCTTTTGGGACTCGGACATAGGGACAAAGGGACCCAGGATGCTGACATCTGAGCCTGGGGAATATGGTAGTGGTGACAACTTAGTTATAAAATTTTATGCAGGGAAGCAGGCTTTCAGAATTTGCCAGTAAAATCTCCATTGCAACCCTGCTAATATTCTCTCTGTGATAATGTGAAGGTGGTCAGTGATTTTCTCTTTGAGGTTTACAAAAGGCAACTTATCAATATATACACAGCTACCATCATGTATTTAATGTAAGAGAAAGAAATCCTTTGTGTATAAAGGGACTCCAGAAGAGCCTTCTCTCTCTCTCTCTCTCT